AGTCAATATGCTAGTAATATGCATGCTAATAAGCTACTAGTTATTAGTGAGAATTGGTCTTTAAAATAAAGTGTTACCGATTATTCTTGTCTGAGAGACCCCTATTCTAAGACTTAAAAGGCAGCTATATCATGTTTTCATGTATGAAGACCCAATTTATACTGTAAAATAAATAAATAATAATAATGTGTAAAATATTATTTGGAAAATATTTAGTTACTATTATATTTACTTTTTTCCGGTTACACTTTATTTTAAGGTGTCCTTGATACAATGTAATTATACATTTATGTACTGAGTAATATTAATTAACTGCATGTACTTAATATATGGTTAGGGATTGGCTTGGGGTTACTTGCATGCAATTATGCATAATTTATTGTTATTATAATAGTAAGTGCATGTAACGTGTAACACCTTAAAATAAAGTGTTACCTTTTTTTCCCTTCTCACTGTAGTACTGTACTGTTGGATGTTTAGAATGTATTTATTTGATTATTTTTATTTTTTTGTATTAATTTAGTTTAAACTTTTACATTGTTTTTCTTAAAACTTTTGGAACAGAGCTCATGTGTGCCAACTTCAGTGTCTCCCCCAACTGCTTGCTTATCCTCTTCAAATGAATACAAATGAATGTTTTCATTTTGAGCCGAACAGTACAGTATGTTATCACAGGCCTGCTTTCCTCCTCGCAAGAGAAGAGCAAACAAATACAAATTCAAACCGTTTTCAAAAATGCTATCCCATTATGACTAAATTGTTTTAATGTTGAAGTTGTGTGCAAGAATGATGGTGTGATTAATATGGTCAGCTCTCATCTGACAGCTTTATGAAGTGCCTCAGTTACCACCATTTCAAGAGGTCATGGCCTCACATGTAACACATGATCATTAGACTAATAACTTACGTCATGGAGAAATTTAGTATTGTTGAATTTTATTCTCATAAATGATGAATATTTTATATAATATAAATATTATTATGCAGTTTAATTCCAGAAGGTTTTTTTTACCCCACAAATTGCCCAAGCCGTTTGCTGTTACGCAAACTCTTTTCATAATTTTATTATAAGATAATAATGATTTTTAACTTATTTTAAAATCAAATAATAGTGATTCTAAAGCTGAATTAAACTATATTTTTGTAGTACAAATATGAACCTTTAAGGAGAAACGGGTCAGTTGGAATTTTTAAAATGATCTGATAATCTAATTTTCAAGGAATTCAGACTCATTCCAGGAACGTGTCAGAATTGTGTGTGTTTTTGGGGGGCTTATATTGGGGGGAAGGTGGGAAGGTTTCCTAAATGTTGAATGATCCCATTGCAATGGCAATGTTTATATCACTAATGATGCTATACTGCTGCTTGAGCTGAGTGTAAGGTGAACAGTGAATTTGGTTTCATAAAATGTGTCCATGATTAAGAAAGGCCAAATCTTTTTTAAAAATCTAGTTTTTCAAGCATTTTTCAAGTTCTTAGAACTTGTACTTTTTGTATTCAGGTTATATATAGTTCTGAAAAATATTTATATCACTGTCAAAACTTTCAATTTAATGACATGAAAGTCTTGCGGTGGAACCATCAAGTAAAATGAACATCTTCCTAATGTTTAAAGTGTACATATCTCAAATGTTTCTAATTAAATTTTCTTAATTTCTTCCTTTTATTAAAAACTAATATAAAAAGGTATATTTATTACTTCTAATATTATAATATCGTTTATTTTTAAGGGTGTGATTCCCTTAAAAATAAACGATATTATAATACCACATGACATTTTACAACCTAAAAAAATTATATGGCATTTAAAGAGAATTTTTGACAAATTGTCATGCTGGTCTTTAAGGGTCCTCCCTATGATTGATATATATATATATATATATATATATATATATTCGGACAACAGTAAATAGACAGACACATACACAGAGCGCTACTGAAGAGCAGAAGCTGGTT